AAATAAAACCACAACTGATAATTTAGAATGGTAATGAAAAATCAAATATTTATAAAAATTATTAAGTTACAAAGATAGAAGCTTTGTCTATAAGTTTATAATGATTAAAATCAATATATATATATATATATATATATATATATATATATATATATATATATATATATATATATATATATATTATTTTGAATATCTGATGTATATTCTAAATAAATTATGATTTATACAGTATAATATAAATTTGAATAAAATGAAAAAAACACAATAAATTATGGAAATGTCATTTTTATATGATAAATTAAAAATAATGGTAATGTAATAAAAATAGTACTTATCATTTAGGTGTTGTTTATTTTTTCTGAGGCAAAATGTCTGCAGTCTGCGGACCACATCTGTAGACCTCTGCAGTAGAAGAGGTGGATCAAACATCTGCAGTCTGAAAAAAGAAGACTGTTTGTTTTTTTAACATCTACGGGTTATTAAAATAAACTAAAATCTAAATAAACTGATTTTTTAAAACTTCAAAGCGAATTTTTTATATATTTTTACGACTTTATTATAAATATATAACGAATCTAGATCAACTTTTATGTATTATTATATAAAAAATAAAAATAAAAATGGTATTAATTCATATACATATTTGATAAAAACCAACAACTTTGATTGCAAAGTTATAACTAAACATTATAATTAGTGATCAAAGAATTTGTACATAAATAGATGGAAATAAACTTCGATTTTTTCAAATAAATCTATTAAAAAGGTACGATAAATATTTTCTCGAGAAATTGATGATACTCTATTAAATAAAGTTTTACAAAATTTTGGCAAAAAAATATAAGAATATATTTTGATTTTTTTTTTTTTTCATATTTATATAAACAATTTCAATGACTATTATTATAATAAATTTTTATTTATAAATTTGTTAAAAATATCATGTTTGTATCGTCAAATGTTTTTTTTTTAAGTTTTGTAATTTTTTTTCATATTGTTTATCATTAATAAAGTTGGAAAAAATATAAATTAAAAAAAAAAAACTTAAAAAAAATAAAGATATATATGTTTTTTTAAGCTAGAAGATGTCTGAAAATGTTAGAAGACTCTGGTCCACATCTACGCCAAGAAGAGGGCGCGCAGACATTTTTAGGTCTGCAGTCTTCAAAAAAACAAACAGTCTGCAAAGACTAATGTCTGCGCGTGGTCTGCGCGGCGCAGACAGAAGACGTCTCGCAGATCTGCAGACAAAAAACAAACACTACCTTAATGATGTGATTTATTCTTAAAACGTAATTGATGCAAGTTTTAAGGGTGAAAGGTAAAATAAAAAAGAATTTTATGTTGATGGAATTAATAGAATAACTGGAGGGAATATAGATTGGGGGTAATAACGTAATTTAAGTTTCTTATGGATAAATTGGTTTTGTAATCGAATTTTTAAAAATATGTTTTTATTGTTAGCATAAAAATTGAATTTTCATGTGGCTTTGTGAATTTCCAAGAATTAATATGTTTCTAAAATTAAGGTGACGATAAAGAAGTGTCAAGTGAGTTAATGCATAACAAGAAATAATCTTTTTCCAAAATTAAGGTTTCAAAATTTAGGTGAATATATTTTATTAAGTTATAACCCGTGAAAACCACGGTCGGTATATTTAAAACTGTTATATGGATAAAAAAAAATGTAGAAAAAGACACAAGATATTGTCAATTGTAAGCAAATTATGAATTAATTTATTAAATAAAATAAACATAATAATGTTATTAGGATATCATTTTGTATTTTCAAAATTTGAATTGAATTTGATTTGTTACAAAAAAAAAACATAATCATAATACTACGTGTCAAAGAGATATTATAAAAACTGACACGTGTTATTTTTAGGTTTCATTTATTAGAAAATGTAGATTGAGTTTAAATTAATAATGATAAATGATAAAATGGTAATTTAATTTTGATAGAAAAATCGATAAAGAAAATGACATGTGACAAAAATGATTCATTGGAACGGGGAGATGAATAGAGGTCAATGGATAACTTCCTGCTAAATAAGGGTCGTCTAATTTTAACTGCTTTTAGTTTAAACCTCTGTAAGTTTTTATTTACAGTTTTTTTTTTTTTTTTTTTTTTTTTTTTTTTTTTTTTTTACGGTTTTGCTTTGACCACCTCATATGCACACGAGCTTTCCTACGGTTGACATGACTCCGCTTTCAACCTCTTCAAGTGATCACATTCCCCCATTCACCCATTACTAGGGATGAGCATCAGAACTAGCCCTGAAACCAAACTTGGTGGAAAAATAAGAACCGAATTGGACCCCTGGTTCTACCAGTTTCGGTTCCTATCAATTATTGTCGTGTCTTCAATGTTAGAAACGGTCCTTGAGAAATAGCAACATACGGTTCATGTTTTTTGCCGGTTCTATCGGTTCCAAAAATCCATAAAAATATCGTCTCAGTCCCGACCCAATAGGTTCTTTCCGGTCCAAATACTCATCCTTACCCATTACACAATCACATGCATACATATAACCACATAGAAGACCATTCTACAATCATCTCTCCTCCAATATATATATATATATATATATATATATATATATATATATATATATATATATATATATCAATTATCACAACTACAAACGAGAAGGGAAAGTTAGGACACTAATAAAATTTGAGATGCAGATAACCTCTAAATCCACATCCTCTTTAATTGCTAAATAATTTCAATTTGAAGTCAATTGAATATTTAGACGAATTCAATTTCATTCATCGATAATTGAAATGCCTTTGTTTTCGTTCTTTTCGTTGAATTAATAGCCTCAAAACCTATTTTTGAAATTACAAGTTTAATGAGTCGCGTTTATTTTGTTTCATGGCATTTTAAGTTGTTTCTTGTTGTTCGATTATTTGGTTAAATTACACATCCCTAAAGGGCGCGAGTCTTCTTGGTTTTGCTCTAAGACCTATTGATCACAAAGAGAAACCTAGGGTCAACCGTAATATAGAGGCGTGTCTTGGGATTGCGCTCTAACACCAAAGTTAGGGGTGTATTATTCAATATAGTGTATGTGAAATGTAGAGAGAATAAGGGAGTGAAATGTTACTTTATATAGCTCGTATTGATGAGATATTTATAGTGTTTGTGTGTAGTCAGTTTGTGGGAGGCAGACGATCTGGTGAATGAGTCGTGGTCGTCATGTATACGACAATATAGTTTGGTGCCTTCGCCAAGCTCCAAACATGGATGCGTTCTTGTGGTTGTTCAGCGCAGATTCAAAGTGTTTCTTTGTGTCGGAGTGAGGGTCATATCGATATGGTCCACTGCTAGTATTAGTGATTTTTAATAAAATGTCTTTGTTTATTATATTATTATTTATTTAAGGAAAATATAAGAACATTTTATATTGTCTTTCTAATCTTGCAAATTTTGTTAGAAAAATAAGGTATGATATCAATAGAATACATATATTTTTAATTGTGTAAAGTTACTCTTCTTGATTAAGATTTCGTCTATTTAATGCCCCGGTATCACAAAATTCAATTTAAGAAATGCAATCAAATTCATTATCATTTTTCGCATAAGTCGAAAGTCTAGATACTGAGAGGTATGAGAATTGTTTATTTTTTCACGAGTCAAAAATATGAAGTGACTTCTAAGTATACCGACAAAGTAGATAAGAATAACAAAAATCGGTTTTTGGAAGTTATTAATGGCTATATGAAAGTTATAACCATTTTTGGAAGTAGTCGATGGTGTTTGGGAGTCTTGTTTGAAGTGCTCATCGGCTTATTAGAGTTTGTCACCGGTAATATGGAGGTTTAAATGTTTGAAAATGAAGATTTATAAGCTTGACTTAAATAATGAGTTACTCAAATAGTTTTTGGTTGTGAAGAAGAAAAAGAGAAAAGGAAAACGAGGAGCAGAGGAAATCACGTGGCATAAGGTTGACTGAAGTTAAAGACAGCTGCAAAACCTCTAACAGTACAACCAGTTATCACATGCTCTTTTCACAACTAAAAAATGCAACCAAGATTCGCATCATCAACAAGTTTTTAAAACCCTCTTAAATGTACAAGGTTTTATGCACATGCTGTAACTTGCAAGCTTTAATGAGATGAGAAAAATGTTGTTGGTATGTTGTATTTCGTATCTACATTACATAATCACATGATTGGTTTAATTACACACTTGTTTAACTTCTGCATCTTTACTCACTAATAATTGTCATTGAGAGTGATGATAGTTGATTATTAATTAACTTCTAATGGTTTTTTTAACCATCTATGACCACTTAATATATTGATAACCAAATTAATTATAGAAGTTTGAGGTAAAGTGTAGTTTTAAAACTGTTTCAAGTAGGTTATTTAGGGACTTGTTTATAGTAACAGTTAATTAACATGATTATAAACTAGTAAAGGCACAAATGAATATTTTGGAACATTTTCAGCTTTTTCTTTACTCAATAAATAGAAAATATTTTAAGATTTCGTCATCAAAAAAACTACATTAATATTATTTTCTTCAAAGGCCTTCAATTTAATTTTGTAGTTTGATCCATCCATCAGCAGCATTACATGATTCTAGTAATAAATTTTAGACTAAATTACACTTTTGGTCCATAATTTACAATTGTGGTCCCAAATAGTGTCTTTTGCAGTTTTGGTGCCCATTTCGAGTGATGTAACAATTTTGGTCCTTGTAGTCACAAAAACTGCAGTTTTTGAACAAACTCATGGACCAAATTGTCACAACAACCGGAAACAGTCATCAAATTGCAAGATGAAACTATTTAGGATCAAAACTTCAATTTTGCACAAACTTAGAGACCAAAAATATAAATTTAGTCTATAGTTTGTTACTTTATCTACAACAAACAAAACTACAAATAATCCGATTATTATAAAATAAAAACACGTACACATTCACGCTTACTATGTGTGAGTGTGATTATATATATAGTATAAGTATATAAGTATACGTCTCAGCAGCAAGAAGATTGCTCCCCATCCAATATTTATTTCCCCCCCTTTTCTGCTTCCATTCTCATCCCCACTCACTCTTGCACTCCCCCAACCACTCTACTCTGCATCTCATTTTTCATATACACAATTCTGCTTTCAATTTCACTCTAAAATCAAAATCATATCATGGAAACCTCATCGATTTCGAGAAGGATTTTATTCTTTCTGATTGCTGTTCAATTAAGTTGCCAATGCATCCAGTGCGTCGTGACGTATGATGGAAAAGCCATTGTTATCAATGGTCGAAGAAGAATATTGATATCTGGTTCGATACATTATCCCAGAAGTACTCCTGAGGTGTTGTAATCTCAAATTAGTCCTAATTTTGATTCGATTTCGTTATGAATTTTGATGAGATTCGATTTGTTTGTGTTTTTGATTCGCAGATGTGGGAAGATATTATAATGAAGGCTAAAGATGGAGGATTGGATGTAATCGAAACTTACGTGTTTTGGAATGTTCATGAGCCTGCTCCTGGCGTTGTAATCATAATTTCTCTCTTCCTTTCCTTTCCTCTTAAAAAAAATTTATACCAAATTCAAATTATTTGTAGTCCAATATTGCATTGATTTGAAATTTTGAACGCATGTATTTTAGGAATCAAAATCGGATACATTGTTTTTTTTAGATTTTTCCAATTAAAATAATTCTTTTAAAGCTAGAATCCAATAGAAATACGATTTGAGTTTCTTTTTTAGTTAATACAACTATTTTAATAATAGTTTAAAGATACCAAGTTTGAATAATTAAAAACGCATATTTCGTGTATGAATGAAAGGGACCATTCCCATCTAACTTACCCCATGCTTTTTGTCACACAACTACCATACTTTCCAAATGTGATTATATCATGTGATATATCTGATTTAACTTGGTACTTAATTAGTCTTTAAATCTTCTACTTATATGTTTACCATTCAATGCTAATAAAGTTTATGCATTATTATAATTATATTTGTCGTTTAAAAAGTAATTTCTATATCAATAAAAACTTGTAGCGTTTATAGTGATAATCGTGGAATGTGATTTACTTATGTATTCTTAGAAGAGGACTGGTGACTGATACTTATTTACCATTTGTGACGTGATTTATATTTTATTTTGTGATGAAAAAAAAAATCAGTATGATTTCGAAGGAAGATACGATTTAGTGAGGTTCTTAAAGACAGTGCAAAACGCAGGCCTTTATGCTCATCTCAGAATTGGGCCTTACGTCTGTGCTGAATGGAATTTTGGGTATTTTTCGATTATTTTTCTTTAAAAAAATAAGATTCATAATTCACAATAATTTTCTTTTATTTTTTCTTAACCAAAACAAGTCATAATTTGTGCAGAGGACTCCCAGTTTGGCTAAAGTATATTCCTGGTATTAGTTTCAGAACAGATAATGAGCCATTTAAGGTAAAATGGTAAATGAATATTTCATATCTTTTTATTGTGTTATGATATATAAATAAAATTTTAATTTTATTTGAATATTTGCAGTGGGCAATGAAGAGGTTCACTGAGAAAATTGTGAAGTTGATGAAAAGTGAAAACTTGTATGAATCTCAAGGAGGCCCAATTATACTCTCACAGGTAAATTCGTAATTTTAAACAAATTTTGTTTTTAGTTATTTCTAGTCTCCAATATACACACATTGTATTTTATGTAGTAAAAGTTGTAGATATGAGGTTTTGTGTTGTGGTACACTTTTTGCAACACAATGTACAAGCAAGTAAAGGCAAACACGACCATGGATTTCCATTGATTATTTACATTACAGATTGAGAATGAGTACGGGTCTCTAGACACGCGATATGGTGCATTTGGACATAACTACATAACCTGGGCTGCAGAAATGGCCGTTGGATTACGTACAGGTGTCCCTTGGACCATGTGTAAACAAGATGATGCTCCAGATCCTATTGTAAGCTCCATCTGACCCGACCCGTATACACTAACCTTTTTTTTAAAAAACTTATCAATTTTAACTGTTTGGACAGATAAACACATGTAATGGTTTCTATTGCGACGCTTTTACCCCCAACAAGCCTTACAAACCCAAAATTTGGACAGAGGCATGGACCGGATGGTATGTGATAACTTTACCCAATCATTCATTTAATCAGATTTTTATCTTTTATAAAATAATAAAACGTTACATAATCAAAGTAAACATTTTGTTACAGGTTTACAGAATTTGGTGGCCCAAGTTATAGGAGGCCTGTTCAAGATATCGCATTTGCTGTTGCACGATTCATACAAAAGGGAGGATCGTTTGTTAATTACTACATGGTTTGTCTTTTCTTATAATTTCAGAGTTTGAGTTTGATCATTCTGTAAATTTCAAATCTTTTGTCTAAAATAAAATACCTGAATACAGTATCATGGAGGTACCAACTTTGGTCGCACTGCTGGAGGTCCTTTTGTCACTACTAGTTATGATTACGATGCTCCCATTGATGAATATGGTATTATATCAATATTTTTTTTTTTACTATTGTAGCCATATGTCATTTTTGAGCTTAAAAGTCAAACTGTTTTGAGTATGAATCTTTGTTTATAGGGTTGATTAGACAACCAAAATATGGGCATTTGGCGGAGCTTCACAAAGCAATCAAGCAATGTGAACCGGGTTTAGTTGCTTCCGATCCAATTATCGTCTCTTTAGGACCCCGTCAACAGGTAGGTTCTTATCTTATCTCAAGCTTAAATTTCTTTAGACAAAAATACAAGGAAATTGAAAATTCTGTAATAAATGATTTACCAATTTTCAGGCACATGTATTCTATTCGAAATTAGGACGCTGTTCGGCTTTTCTGTCAAACTATGACACAAATAACGGTTCACGAGTAATGTTCAATCAGAGGCATCATAACCTACCTGCATGGTCCATCAGTATTCTTCCTGATTGTCTCAATATGGTCTTTAATACCGCCAAAGTAAGTATGTTACACATTTACTCTTTCACTAATCTTGGCATGTTTATGTTTTTAACATGAGACCTCTTCCTATATTCTTATCACTAGGCCACTTATGCAGGACATCTTCATCTTGGAATGTTTCGTTTTTAATGTAATGTGTATGGAATTTTGCAGATTGGAGTTCAATCGACACGATTAACGATGTTACGTGCGAATTCCCAGATGTTTTCATGGGAGACATTTAGTGAAGATTTAACGACTAGTGACGTGGACTCTGCTTTCACTTCGTTTAGTCTTTTGGACCAAGTAAATGTCACTAGAGATTCTAGTGATTATCTATGGTATACAACCACGTAAGTCGTCTGTGTATTTATTATTATTATTTTTTTTTATATAAATATTTTGCAAAGAGACAGTAGGGTGTTGATGACTTAAACTTTTTAACTTTACACTTACAGTATTGATGTTGCGCCTACTGAGTCATTCTTGTATAACGGGGAGCATCCGAGACTGTTGGTAGAGTCAAGCGGGCATGCTCTTCATGTTTTCATAAACGGAAAACTTTCTGGTTCGATTTTTGGAACACGTGAAGATAGGAGAATCAGTTACAGGGCGAAGATCAGACTCCTTTCCGGAAGGAACAAAATCGCGTTGCTTAGTGTTGCCATGGGACTATCGGTTTGTTTCTTCTTGTGTCTCTTTATCGTGATAATTCCAAACTCCAACCTAACATGAATATTTTGTTTTTGAAAGAATATTGGGGGGCATTATGAAAGTTGGGAGACTGGAGTCCTAGGTCCGGTGGTTCTATACGGTCTTGACCACGGGAAACTGGACTTGACCCATACAAAATGGTCTTACCGGATTGGTTTGAAGGGTGAAGCCATGAATGTTGTCTCCACCACCCGTATGCCTTCTTCGGTTGAATGGGTGCAGGGTTCACTCATCACCCAAAACAACCAACCGCTGACGTGGCACAAGGTACGATGAAAATGAACCTAAACCCGAACCGGTGAAGTGAGGTTGGTACTCGATCTAACAGTATTGTATTGAATGTTTTCAGGCTTACTTCAATGAGCCAGATGGTGAAGAACCATTGGCCCTGGATATGAGTAGCATGGGGAAGGGTCAAGTGTGGATCAATGGTCAAAGCATCGGACGATATTGGACCGCTTATGCCACCGGTAATTGCCAACAGTGTCATTACACCGGATCTTATCGCCCTATTAAGTGTCAAGTTGGCTGTGGTCGACCAACCCAACGATGGTACATACATACAGACTCACAAATCATCATCTAATTCGCTTAAGCTTATGCTCTGATATCAAACTTCAATAACATAAGTTTAAAGATACTAAAGTTGGTACTACGGTTGTGTAATGATGTAGGTACCATGTACCTAGGTCATGGTTAAAACCAACCGGCAATCTATTGGTGCTTTTTGAAGAACTCGGAGGTGATCCCACGGGGATTTTACTAGCAAAAAGATCAATGACAAGTGTGTGTGCTGACGTGGTCGAATATCACCCCAACATTAAAAATTGGCGTAATGAAACCTATGGGCAAACACAAGTATTTCATAGTCCAAGGATTCATCTTCAATGTAGTCCTGGCTTGTCAATCTCTTCGATTAAATTTGCAAGCTTTGGAACTCCTGTTGGATCATGTGGCTCATTCCAACAAGGAACTTGTCATGCTCCTACATCGTTGGATGTCATTAGCAAGGTATGTACTACTAATCTATTTTGTTGGCTTGTACTACATGCATAGATGGTTGTACTATACAGGGGCTAATGGAATTTATTTATGTTCTACACTCTACAGAGGTGCATAGGAGAAGATAGATGTGCAGTTGCTATATCAAACACCAACTTTGGTCAAGACCCGTGTCCAAACATATTGAAACGCTTGTCAGTTGAAGCTGTTTGTACTCCAACTTCAATGGGTCAAGGTTAACATGGTATAACCTAAACGCCCAAAACAAATGGGTAAAAACTAATTAACACTAATTGTTATTTAGGCAAGGAAGGAGATTTAGACTAGTTTCAGTTTCTTTACAGGGTTTTTACTTTTTATTCAAATTAATCATAGATTAGAAATTCTGATTCCAATAAGTTAGTAAAGATCATGGGCGTTTTAAAGTTGTAAACATTCATTTCAAGTTTCTGTGCAGTTGAGTTGATGGTGATATATAATTGAATGAAAATTGTGTGATCAAAGCCAATTGTTATATACAAGAATTATCGATCCCAAAAATGTAACAAATACTAAGATGTGTAAAAAGATCCACATGAAAATTCACTAGAGTTGTATGAAGCTTTTGAAACAGTAACTACCACAAAGAAACCATCCAACAACAAGAAACGCAAAACATGACAAAAATGTTAGAAAACTTACGCCTCCAAAGGTGATTCCAATGAAGAAAAAGAACACGAATGGAAGACAAGATCGAACCATGGATTTTGTATCCACCCATTGACCTTTCAACAGGATCAATACAGCCAAGTTTACCACATTCCACCTGCCACCCTGGAACTCCAACCGATTTAGATTATTGGCCACAAATGAGTGACAGTTGCAAGTAAAGATGTTGTAGGTTTTATGTTGGTATTCTTGTGTGCTTTTTCTCAAGGCATCATCCCATCCACATGTGTTGTATTGGTTTCTTCCTGATTCTACTAGTCTATACTCTTCTTCAGTTCTGAACATGGTTGATGTTGAAGGATTGGGAGTCATGGAGCACTGTTAGTTACAAGGGCATGATTGTAAATTAGTAACTAAGATGAATGAAAGCATGAATGACTTGGAAAGAATCAAAGCTGAAGAATATGTATTGCCTTATCTTTGTTGATTTGGACATATCGAGACACAGCTCCAAATGCAAAGTTATCTACACAGATGAAATTAGGACCTGCAAAATCGAGGATGACTCCATCCTCTTTGCCTATCCCAACATGACCAACAAAAGGAAGGAGCCATGAAATAACAGGGAGTGGTGTCCATACTATGCAGTATGGAAAGCGAGCTTTTGATGGATCAATCTGCTTGCTATGTGGAAGTGGAAGATCCTGCTCGATCATCATGCTACTGCCATTATGATTATGTTCTGTATCTGATTCCATTTCCGAATCTGTATATGGCAGAAATCATACATTTCGTATCTCCCAAATCACCATTAACAGACCATGAAATCCCCGTTTTAGCATGAATTAATTAGTTTATCAATTGAAATGCTTAACTCGATGATTTCAACAATATTAATGAATAGCGGTTGATTTGAAATTATGTATCATGGATTCACAATATTTCATGCGCGAATTTAGCGCCAATTGTTATTGTGCATCAACAGTAAATGTTCTAATTATCATGGAATTAAGCTTTTATCTCATTAATCGAAACGCCTGGACTCAACCGCTGCAACAACACTGGCAGTTACAGAATAAATGATATCAACAATTACGAACAGATCTGAAAAACTATAAATGCAATTCGTTTTCGATATAGTTGTTATTTTTTATACGACGAAGAAACAAAACCCTAACTTATATTCCCCTTATCATATCCAAATCTCTGGTTTTGAGCATAAAGAAACAAAATGAATCATTTAGATATAAGAGGACGAGAGTACCTGCGTAACGATCTGCAAGCACTCGATCAACGGGTTATCGATTATGAAGAAGATCCAGCGACTGAGAGCCAAAACCAAAAGGCGGGTTTTCTTTTCTATAATCCCTCCTTCTCTTTGTTTTGGTTAAAAAGTCAATGCCATGCTTTGACCAACATTGGACGGGTGACATGCAGTCGTTTATGCTATCTTGTCGAGTTGGAAAAGAAAAATGAATCTAAATTACAAAACCTTAAAATGGTCCTTTTTGTAATCTTTAAATTTAAAAAAGATTATGACAGGTTTTAATTTTTAAAGAAAAGTTTATATATATCCTTCTTAAATTTTAAAATATCATATTTGTTTAGTTTAATTTTTCAATATTATATTTATTCTTCATATACATTTAAAATATCATATTTGCCCAATCTTTTTATAATTTTTTTTTAATATGTTATAATCATTTTTTATACCTTAGAATTATTATATCATAGCATATTAGCACATAAAACATATCAAATAGTAACATACAAGACAATTATCACAAAGACAATCATCTCTACTATAATCAACTACTAGTGGGCCGACATTGGTGCCTTCGACCCATTTTTACTGGAAGGTAACTCACCTTGAATGTTGAAGCCCACTGTAAAAATCCTTAGTTGCTGCTCTAACAACTCCCTGAAAATATTACCCAATTAGCAATTGGGTCTTAAACCATGATCCTTAATCCTTATTTAGAGTGAAATGACCATTTCAACCCCGACCCATCAAGATTCATACTAAAAAAATCCATGAAATCCTATCAAAGGCCCAATTTTCCAAATTGGGCCCAAACCCGTACATGGGACTACCCTTTAGAACCCATTATGTACTTCATAACCCTCCAAGGGTCAACCTTGGTTAAAGTCACGTTGTCACACCCCAAAGAGAAGGATGGATTATAGAAAATAGTAAACAAGCAACAACATCATCCATTGCATGAATAGTATAATTTTAAATACAAGTGTGTTCTTTCATAGAATAAAACAATATAATGAATATTCAAAATAAAAGACGAGTATTAACTGCTCCATCTTCACAAAACCTAGTCATCTACCTGTCTATTGGTGACCTGAGGATACAAGTTATTTTGAAAGCGAGTATCAGCATTAAAGATGGTGGATTCATAAGTATTTAATATCATTATTTGTATAAGTATCAATGAAAATGTTTGTAAGTAATTGTAAACGTTTGAACTTCCTAGAAAATCTCATATTTTCTACTAGTATAAAAGGAGTCATCTACCGAGACCCGAATGAAAGTAAGTAAGTAGTCTTCTAACGAGACCCACTGACAGTAAGTAAGTAGTCTTCTAACGAGACCCGTTGAAAGTAAGTAAGTAGTCTTCTCATGAGGCTCGCTGAAAGTAAGTAAGTAGTCTTCTCATGAGACCCGCTGAAAGTAAGTAATAATGTGATTGATAGTCCCTATACTAAAAGTTCTCCATATAGGAGATTCTGGGAACTAAAGGTTCGCAACGAATTGCTAGGTCGAATAATCCACATTATTGTTATGAAATCATATATATATACCCAAAACTATACCTATAATAGCTTACTAGGAATTTATATATATATATATATATATATATATATATATATATATATGAACGTATACCTTTGCTACCCAAAGGTACTGAACTGACTGATTAGAACCATTATATCTACATATGTATACATAATATATATCTAAGATTTAGACGACCTTCGGACAACTAACCGATACCTTAAGTACACATCCAAACAAGGAAAAGGAAATAAAGCGAGTTAGCAGTTCTAAGTCCTTTAAACATTACTTATATAACTATACATATATAGACATGCTTCTAACAATTGTACTAGGAATAGTAAATAGTATCTCTTAACTATACCTATTATAGTTACTAGTAATGTATGTGAATAACCGAAAGTATGCCTTTGCTACCCAAAGGTACTGAATTGACTGATAGAACTTTTATGTCTATATATGTATACATAATATATAACTAATATTTAGACGACATTCGGAAAAATAACCGACACCCTAAGGCCACATCCAAACAAGGAAAAGGAATTTAAGCGAGCTAGCAGTCCTAAGTCCTTTAAACATTACTTACATAATTATACATATATAGGCATGAAATTGACAATATAAAAGTATAAAAGAAGTTTTGGTAAAACCTTTGAAAAGTTTAATAAATAAGAATTTATGACTTGATGTCAGTTTATGAAATAATTTGAAAGCAGTTTGTTTGATAAGAATATTTTAAAGTATAAGAAATCCTTTGTTCGAAACACAATTGCAACAGAGTTTGAAAGGAAAGATACAGTATGTAAGACAGTTTGATAAAGAGTTTAACATGTAAAAACGTTTTGAGAAGTCATTTTGAAGTAGTATACTGAGTAAAACTGCTAAAACTGTAGTAAATATATAGTTTAATAGTTATTAATCACATGTGATTGATATAATAACTATCATGATTCAACTTGTATTCCCCCTACCCCCATAAAAGCATTTAAAAACATTCAAAAAGTTAATTAAGGGGTATGAACTCACCTGTTGTGAGTGGATTGTACGGAAGTGTTGGACAAGGTGCTAGGTGTCAAGTGGAGGCTTGAACACACACAATGGTTCTAGTTAACATATAATGAAACACATATGTATCCAATTAGTCATTTAATACCTAATCAACCAATTTAAGACACCCTAGTACATGGAAACACTTTGATTCAAGTGCTATAGGTACCGAAGGGTTGCATCTAAAGGTTGTATGGCATGACATTGGAGTTTATGGCCTAAGGACCACTCCTTATGGAGTTTACGGCCTAAGGTCAATTCCCCCATGATTTTACGGCCGTAAACTCATGGTACTAAGTGCCATTGGGTGTTTTGAGGTCTTATAAGTCAAGATTGAGCATCCATTGATCAAGTCCAAGCCTTAGGAAGCATTAGGGGCACAATATCACCCCTTTATAGAGTTTACGGCCTAAGGAGCATTTCCTTATGATTTTACGGCCGTAAACTCTATGTTGACATGGTTTCTTTGGTGTTTAAGGTCCTAAACACTTCAAGGATACGATCTAGACTAGTGTCCAAGGCCAAACAAGGGACTAGGGTGCATTTTGCCCCACTTATAAGGGTTTATGGCCCAACAACATGTCTTGGTCGTAAACACATTTGATCTTGTGTTTCTTTGTGATTTCTAAGTGAAAACAAGTCCAATTCAAGTGTATAACAAGCTAGGATAAGTGTACTTACAATCTAGAAGCTTGATTGGGTGTTTAAGGTCCAAGAACACTAGTGTGTTCTTGGTGAAACTAAGAACACTTGAAGATCTACACAAATGGAATGATTTCACGGATGAAATCATGTAAGATCACTAGATCAAGTAAGTCAACTAGTTAGGGCAAGAAACACTTACAAATTTGAAGATCAAGAAGGAAAATCGGATGATACTTGAGAGGATTTTGATGTTCTAGTTCTTGAAAGTGAGAAAAAGTGATAAATATGACTAAGTGTCATATTTATACCCCTTGGGGTTTACGGCCGTAAACTCCAAACTCTTGGAGTTTTGAGACCTTATTGTTGCACAATAAACCCTAGGGCATCCTTTCTCCTGTTATCTCTTGAAGTACTAGGCTTTAGAACACTCAAACTGACTCCAAAACTGCTAAAATTAAGAAATTGAGAGTTTGACTTTGATTGAATGCAGGGATTGTTATAAGATAGAAATTTCGAGTTGTCACACAAGTCATGGCCAAAGTTAACACCCAAGTCAAGGTCAAATTCAACGCTTCGAGTTGACTCAACTCGTCGAGTTGTCCATTAACTCGACAAGTTCCCATAAACCACATAATCGTGATATTATGAATCAACTAGTCGAGTTCTCCCTTAACTCGTCAAGTTCTTTCCTTTTCAACAGAATCGGGACATACTCACATAAACTCGTTGAGTTCCTTTGTGAAGTCGTCGAGTTCTTCATTCTGTTAACCATTCTTAATGCATTACGCCATTTCTCTTGAATCCAGCAGCTGCAAACCTCAAGTCCTTTCCATGTTGATGTTTAGAAGGGTAAATTTTCCAACTTTACCCTCAAGAACCATCTACTAAACTTAAAACTAAAACCCTAGTTTCTTTAAAGGTGGTCTCAATCCATTAAGCCCTTAAACTCCTACTACAACATGCCAACATATAGATCTGATGTCCCAAGGTGGACTAATCACGTAAAGAACTTTATGTTCATGCATGTTAGAAATACCCTCAAATGTCCATTTTTGGCTTTACAATGGACATATTGCATGAATGGAACATGGAGGCCATTAAAGTTTGCAACTTTAAGCCTTAATAGGTCATATAGGGGTCAAATCTATCCTATTAACCCTTGGAAACCTCTTCTCTTCGGACCCTTTGATCAAAGTCCCGAAACTCAAGCTAAAACTTAAAGAAAATAAATCTAGTAAGCTATATGTCAAGGTGACGAATTTATACTTCAAATATGTAGCTCTTGATGAAGGGTTTCTGGATCTAGAGTCACTCCTCTAAGCTAGATGCTTCCCTCTTCAAGTCTCCTTCAATAATCACCAACAAATACTCTTTATCAGCTCACAACACTCAAAAATGGCCTTAGGGTCTCGAGGTTAGGGGTATGGATGATGGAGGTTGGAAATGAGTCCAAACCCTAGAGCTTAAGTTATTTAAATAAGGTGCAAAACCTCAAATTAGGGTTTCTCAAACTACGACCAGATCGTCGAGTTGGTCCCGTCCAACTTGTCGAGTTGATCTTCGAAAACTCGATGATTTGACCTTTAAAAATGAGGTTTTATTTTCCATAATTAACCTTCCATATTCTGAGTGTTACAATATAAGATATTATTGTCTCATATTACTCGTAATATAATCCATGAAGTAATTCTCCGAGCGTGGGTTTATCCAATACTTAAATCTTCATTTCTAAGTACTAATGAATATTGTAATAATATAATTGCTATGTGTAACATCCCAAAGATGAGGAATTTCAAATTTTAACCCTAAGTACGAGGATTATTTGCATTTTATCCCTTGTATATGTAAAATGTTGCAAAATGGCTCATAGTGGCATTTTTGTAAATTATGGACGGAGCTCACGCACGATGGGTGTACAGATTGGTACGGTGGGCATACGTGTCAGAACCT